TCCTGATATTCATGAGTCTTTATGTTAAGGCGATAATTATTATTCTTTATGCTGGGGTGATGATTAATATTATCTTACTGTTAAATTTTAAAAACTCCAACAAAAAAAAGTAGCCAGAAATATACAAGAAGAAGGCATAGCAATGATTGTGGGCTATGCTGATGTGAAATGCATTCCTCAGGAGGTGCACACCAGCTTACATCGTATGGTACGAAGTATTCAGAGGGGTTTGCAGTTACCCTGCAGGTTACGTATGGATTTCCAACTGAAGCGTAAATCAGACATTAGAAAGCACCAATGTTCCTAAGTACAAAAAGAAAAAAAAAAGAATTCGATTGAAAAATAGTAGATTTAGTTTCTGCTAATGGACGTTCAGTACTTAATAAATCTGGGTAATATAATATTTCTTTCTGAACATTTAAATTTTTTTAATTGTTTAAGTGGAAACATTTAATGTTTACCTATAAAAAGAGCTCTAGTACAGAGTGATTAGAAAGCTGTTATTTATTTCATAACATTATGCTAATACCCGTTTGAGGGTTCACAACCATCATCCAATTAGGTCATGCACCCATGACCCAACTGAATGTGCTAATGGAATTACTGCAAACGTCTTTGACCCCCACAGTCGTTTACCTTCCACTCAACCAAACAAGATCAAACGTTGTTATCAGAGCACCCTTTGAATAAGACCACTTGGCCATCAGCGAGTGAGATCCAGCTTCTGATTGCAGTAATGCCACTCAGTTAGGGCTTAATGGAGACAATTAATAGCTGATATGGGAGGTTAACACTCACAATTGCAGCCACACTGATAGATCCTGTAGGGACTTGCTTAGGGCTTGATCCTTGAGAAGAAAAAAGAGACACACTTGTGTGGGTTTTTTGAAGTGTTTAAGTGCTGTTCTCTTAGAGAGATCCCTCCAAGACCACCTGACCGTATCCCCTCCTGCATAATGACATACTTATTGATACTCACTGGTGTCACTAAGCTAGTTTTCTGAGCATTTTAGACATTTCACTGAGCATAGTTTAGATGGGTTTACCCTGACGTTAAATATTATGATCTCTCTCCTTTTTAATTCTGTCAGACCTGCAGGTTCTTCTGCAAAAGCAGAAAAAGATATAAAAAATAACTTAAGACTTTCTCATTTTCTTCAGTGTAAATATGTCTTAATGTAAACAAATGTGTCAATAATGTGTTGTACAGTTTAATTCTCTACACCACACTAAATTTGAAATCAAACAATAAATATATGATTGGAGTGCAGACTTTCAGCTTTAACTCAAGGGGCTTATTAAACTTTTGCATTAACAGCTGTTTTTAGTGCCTTAGAGGTACAAAATTAACTGGAGAAATTAACATAATTTTAATGATAACAATGTTATTTAATACTTGGATGAAAATCCTTTGCAGTCAATGACTTTGAAGTCTAGAACCTGTGGACACCATCATATGTTCCCTTGAGATACTCTACCAGATACTAAACTCTATTTAGTTTTGCATTCATTAGCTGACGAGCGTGCTTTTTGAGTTGACAGGTGACTGAATTGACCTTGGAAAAATAATCCATCTCTTTGCAGTAAGAAACAAACTCCTTTTTTTTTGTTTTTGTTTTGCAGTAATTTGCATATAATCATAATAATTGAGTCATTTGCACTGTGAAGCATTGCTCGATCAGTGTCAGAGAGTATAAGCCTTTATGCTTTAGTGTTAACTCTGCTACCTCAGTCGGCAATTACATCATCAATAAACACCAGTGTTCCTGTTGTGGTACGTGCCTAACCTAACCCAGCTTGGTGAAACAGTTTCATCGTCATTCTCACATGTTGTTCAGCTATGGCATGAAACTGTTTGCCAGTTCTTCTTGAAATTGGGCGACCATGTATAAAAGCTGCTGCAATTCCTAAACAGTTATTGTAAAACTAAAAAAAAATGTATAATAATAACTATTTTATAATAATTGAAAAAGGCCGTTTCAAATCATAATATGTGGCACAATTAATTGCAGTTTAAATCAGTATTAATTATTGATTAATACTGATTCTTAACAGGAGAGAAGGTTGATAGCTGTAGCCTCTGGTCCTCAGACTGAGGCCCAGCATGCTAGTTACTTCCTGTTTTATTTTGAAAGCCCCTTGTTTTGTGTGTGTTATGTTTAGTTTTGCTTCCTCTGTTTTTAGTCTGACCTAGTTCACCTGTGCCTTGTTTTCCCCAGCTATGTACCATCTCCCTAATTACCTGATGTCTGTTAAGTCCTCCGTTTCCTTTGTTTTTGTTACGTCTCCCTGTCTTTTCCTTCACGCTGTGTGCTCTTTTTTCCCTTGTCCCTCAGTCCTAGTTCATGTCAGTGTCCTGCATTTGGCTCGTCTCTCAGCCTGCCACACAGTGAACCTTGACAAAGGCTGTTGGGACTGAGAGTTTTAGGGCATAAAGTCATAAAGAATTACAGCTTACGGAAAATGCATCAATATTTCTATTGTTGACAATATAGACAGAAAAATAATAAAAATGTAAACAAAGAAAGTCTTAGACATTTGTTTCATGAGGCTGGAAGTACCAATACTTTGTTACTGTATCGAAGTAAAGTTTTCAGGGAGCGGTTTTTTAAATGAGTATTGATTTTTCTGAATTCTTTTTACTTTTACTCTACTTCTACTCAAATATTCATACTTTCAACATTTTTAAAGCTGTTGTGGTCCTGGGTTGGTGACCCAGTGTGTTGTGTTTTTATTAATCTTGGTTTATGGTTCTGTATTTCTGGCTCTCTGGTTCTTCTTTGTTTCTAGTTCTTGGGTTTTGTTCCTTTGCCCCTCATGTTTAGTGTAGGTTTAGTTCTGTCTTCATGTTTATTTTCTTGTTCCCCAGTCAGTCGTGTCTCATTTCACAGTTACTCCCATCTCTGTGCTCCAAGTTCCCTCTGTTCAGTGAGTGTCAAGTCCAAGCCTCTGTGCTGTTGTGTTTCCTGTTTTATTTTGATAGTCTCTGTCCTGTGTGCAATGTGTCTGATTTTGCTTCTCTTGTCTTGTTAGGTCTGATTTGTCCCAGCTGTGTTACTGTTCCCATCCTCTCATTGTCCTGCTTGTGTATTTAAGTCCTGTGTTTCTCTTCATCAGTTTTTGCATCGTACCCTCTCCGTGCTGTTTGTTTCTTCCATGCTCCTTGTATTTTCTAGTTCTTTGTCCGAGTTTAGTTCCCTAGTTTTCATGTTTCTGGTTTAGTTTTCATGTTTTCATTGTAAAGTTTTTTCCAGCAAATAAAGCTGCCGTTTTAAGTTTACTTTCCCTAGTGTGTCGAGCCCTGCATTTGGGTCCTTCATCCTGCCTGCTACACAGCACGCACGACAAAACAGGCTTATTACATTTAGGTTCATCCATAGCTTACACTCTGGAGTTGCCCAGAACAAGTACAGGTGTCCTTAAGTTGTGGTTATGGTACTTGAGCCTCATATCACTGCTACTACCCTGCATTAGCAGTTCTCTCTCCTCTTGACTGAAGTAACACAAGACCTTGTTTGCTGAAGTCATATATGTATAGAACTCGTGACTGATGGCATTCTGAGAGAGCCTATGCATTTTGTCTGCAAGAGCAAAGATAACAGGGCTGCAGAGTCTGCATAGGCTCTCGTTGGCTCTGAAGTTGTCATTGAGGGTAAAATACAGCCTGTAGAAGCCAGATGTGAGGAGAGATTAACAAAGGTTGATGACAGACCTCATGGAGGCTACAGTCAGGGAAAAGTGTGTCATTCTGTTACAGTATAGAGGACCCAACTGCAGACACGGAGATGAACTAAAGAAACAAAAAAACAAACCTTATTTTAGCTAGAAATAAATCTGTAGGCTCTATGATGCCTTGGATAGGAGGGTAGAAGAGGTAATGAGGTATTTCCTCATGCTTGGACTATTGTAACTCACTGTTTATGTGTCTAAGCAAAGGTTCTCTGGATCGTCTGCAGGTTGTGCAAAACGCTGCAGCCAGGCTTGTGACAAAATCCTCTAAGTATTCACATGTGACACCGTTGCTATCTCAGCTACTCTGGCTTCCTGTTGAATTTAGAGTCCATTTTAAGATCCTGGTCTTGACATTTAGAGCCTTGCACGGACTGGCACCAGCCTACATCTCCGATCTGCTACAGCCTTATGTCCCTAGCAGGTCCCTGAGGTCATCTGATCAGGGCTTACTTGCTATAAAACAGACTATGGGTGATAGAGCCTTTGCCACTGTGGCCCCGAGGTTGTGGAACTCTCTTCCCCAAACCTTAAGAACTGTGGACTCAGTAGTTGTTTGTAAAAAACAACTCAAAACTCACTTTTTAAAAATTGCTTTTGATTAATTTTTGCCTGTTTTTACCTTTTATTATTTGTTATTATGTGCAGCCCTTTGTGACTCTGTCTAGAAAGGTGCTGTATAAATAAAACTTTATTTATTTAATGAGGTCTTTCCAGAGGCTTGTCTAGCAACCACTGACAGAGCAGCAGCAGCAGCAGCAACGATGACAAAAATACTGTAGTGGCTGTTGTGCAGAGGTAATTGTATACACATGTACAGTGATACAGCAAAATAAGCTGTTAGATATTTCAGCAGTTCAGTACCCTTATGGCTCGTGGGTAGAAACTGTCCCTGAATCTGCTGGTGTGGGTGTGGGTGCTCTCATACCTGCTGCCACCAAGCAGAAGCGTTAAGAGTGTATTGCTGGTGTCAGAGAGCATCTGGAGGGCCAATCTCATACAGTGCTGTCTGTAGAGGTTCTGAATGGCTGGCAGTGTAGACTTTGTGCTACATTGTGCTGATTTGACCTTCCTCCATAGAGCTGAGGTCGAGAATGTTACAGCTGCCCTACCAGGTCACGACACAGCCAGAATAATCTCAATGATGCATCGATAGAAGTTGAGAGATGCCAAACATCCTCAGAGAAAAGAGACACTGTTTCACTGCTTTTGTGATCATGTCCACGTGTTGTGACCAGCTCTTATCCTCACTGATGTTAATTTGTAGAAACCTGAAGCATCTCCACCTCTGTCTCCTCGATGTCAGCAGGGGTGTGCCCTCCACCCTGCAGTCTCCTGCACTCCACAATGAGCTCCGTGGTCTTGGTGATTTTGATCAGCAGGTTGTCCCAACACCAGGGCTCTCCCCTCTGCTCTGTAAGCAGACGCCTCTCCATTCAAAATGCAATTAATGATGCTGGGTTCGTCTGCAAATGTAACAATGGTCTTGGAGCTGTGTGTGGCCTCACAGTCGTAGCTGAACAGGGTGTACAATAGGGGGGCTGAGCACACATCCCAGAGGGACACCAGTGTGGAGCGTCAGTGTAGATGACGTGACAGACACCTGTGGTCTGTCCGTCAGGAAGTCCAGGATCCAGTTGCATAAGAAGACACTGATTAGCTGATTTCAAAGCTTGGTGATAAGCCTGAATGGAATTATTGTCAGGAAGCGCTGTGTGGCAGGCAGGAGGTTTAAACACAAGGAACTCAGCTTAATTTGCTGGCAGGGAAAAAGCAAACTAAACTAAACTGGAACATCACAAACTAAACTCACAGGGAGACACAGGACGACCCACACAGCATGAGGGACAAAGCGACACTGACTCAGAGAATCACAGGGTTAAAATACACTGGGAAGTAACGAGGGGAATGAGACACAGAAGGAGGGCACAGCTGGGAGAAATCAGAACTGACGAGACAAGGAAGCAAAGCAGGATACATTCACCTAAGACACGGACCTTCAAAGTAAAACAGAACTTGACACGGTGGAGACAACAACTAAGAAACACAGAGACATAAACCATAAAGCAGAGGACTCAAGAACCAAAATACACAGAGGGAAATACTAAGCATGGAACCAAGAAACTAGACTCGAGGGAGAAACAAAAGACCAACCATGAGAACATAATTCACAATAGAGATTGAAAATGTGACGTCATTCAGGGGTAAAACCGCAAAGGATTCTGGGAACGCGTGGCAAGCGGTACTAGCGCACGCAGGCTTTCACAAGAAAACAGTCACACAGCGATAAAAAGAAACACAAAGAATGGCAAGAAGATGTTGTATTATTAACTGCAACAGCCGGTCGCATGACAGCCACGGGAAGCCGGTGGGTAAAGAGATCTGTTGTTATCGGATTACGTCGTTGAAGAGAAATTGTTTAAGCCACATTTCCGAAGTAACAAAGAGGCGACGGATGGCGTGGATTGCAGCCATTCGAAGATCAAATATAACCTTCCAGAACACTCCAGCTCACATGTGAGTCTGCTCCAAGCATTTCCACAAAGGTCAGTGTTTTGTTGTAGTTATTACGTAATTTATCATAATTGTTGATGTAGGTTACAAATAAGTCTTATATTGATTTGAATTGAATTCGTTGCTATGCTGCTTTGTTCACTGTGGCTTTCTGGGCTAATGTTTGTTGTGTTTTGTAGGAAAACCAGCCGACAAAATGCAGGAATGTGATCCAGACTGAACCCCTCTATCAGCCTGGGTTTAAAGCTGCTACCACAGCCAGATTTGATCAGTTAAGAGAGAGAGCGAGATCAAAACAGCCACGAAACGTCCGCATATATGTGCCCAAGGGTTGTATTGAAGCAAGCAAGTGATGAATATTTGTTTTCCACTATGTTGTTTTGATATGGTTTTTTTTTTTGCATTGTTGATTTGTTTTTCACCGAAACCGCTAATAAAG